GGCTCACACCAGCACAGAAACATCCCCAAACACCAGCACACCACCTGCTGCTGCCGCACACTCTTCCACCACCAACAGTCATACGCACTCCTGGTCCTGCTCTGAGGTCAGCACACACACTCTGCAATGCTCCAAACTCCTGGAGGAGAACTTCAGCCAGGATTCATCTGGAGATCTCCACAGAACTCCTGAGGTGAAGGAGCAAACAAAAGCTACCATCCCAGAAGGGAGCCATGACGGGCCCCCTGAACCTGAAAGCTGCACGCTGGATGGAGAAGGTAAGGAGGGGCAAGAAGAGGTTTGTGATGAGGAGCAGGGACAGGAGGAAGAAAAGGAGTCAAAGAATATAAACAAAGATGAGGAGGAGGAGGGTGAGGAAGGAGAGAGAAATGAAGCACAGTTAGAGGATGTAGAAGAAGAGGTTAAGTGTCTGGTAGAGAAGGAGGAAGTGAGTAAAGTTGGTCAGAAGGAAGAAGAGGAAGTTGAAAAGAAAGAGACAGGATTTGAAGAGTACATAGATATAGACTTTTACTCTGAAAGTAACAAACAACAAAAGTACTCTGAGGATTCTGGAACTTTAATGGAAAAATTAAACCTGCAGCACTCTTATTGTAAAAACATGAATGGAAATAAACACCCAGAAGGCTTTTACTGTGAAAATATCACAGAAAAAACAAAACTGGAGAACTCTTATTGTGAACATGTGGGACAAACAACACAAACCGAGGACTTCCAGCTTAAACGTTTCGTAGAAAGAGAACATTCTACTGAGTGTTATTTTGAAAATATAACCATTAAAAAATCTAATCTGGCCGATTCAGTTTCAGAAAATCAGACACAGAACACTGACTACTCTGATAGTATATCCCATGCTCAGTCTGAAGACTCTTATTTTGAAATCGGGACCCTTCATAGACCCTTGAATGAGTTAGAGAGGTTAAATTCTGGACAAGCTTTTCCTGGGGAGCCGGAAACTTTACATGATTCTGAAAATCAGAAACCACATGAGGAATATAATTCTGAAAAACCAGCACAACCCGAAGATTCCAATTCTGAAAAGCAACACAAGGATTTTTGTTCTGACAAATATATGGACTCTTATTTTGAAAAACAAAAGCCCCTTGAGGACTCTTATTCTGAAACTCAGATGCAACCTGAAGACTCTTGTTCTGAAAAAAGTGTTGATTTTTTTTCTAAAAATCAAAGACAGTTGGAAAACACTTTTGATAATGAAAAACAACCTGAAAACTCTTATTCTGAAAAGCAACCTGAAGACTCTTATTCTGAAAAACATCAACATGTGGGTTATGTGTTTGAAAAACAGCAAAAGTTGGACTATACTTCTAATAATCAAAAACAACTGGAAGACTCTTATTGTAAAAAACATGTGGACTTTTATTCTGAAAAGCAACAACATGTGGACTCTTATTCTAAGAAACATGAGGACTCTAATGCTGAAAATCAGATAGAACTTGAGGAATCTTATTCTGAACATCGACCAAAACTAGAAATCTCTTATTCTGAAAATCTATTTGTGGACTCTATTTCTGAAAATCAGATCCAGCCTGGTAACTTTAATACTGCAAAGCAAACATCTGAGAACTCTAATTTAGAAAGTATGACACAAGTACAAGTTAAGTGCTGTTTTTCTGAAACGCAAACACAAGCTAAGGACTTGTATTCTGAAAAACAAAAAGACTCGTATTCTGTTAAACAAAATGAGGACTGTTATTTTCAGAAAAAAACAGACAACTTTTTTCCTGTAAAAGAAACTAAGGACTCTTGTTGTGAAAAACAAACTGAGGACTCCTTTTGTGGAAACCAACTGGAGGACTCTTATTCTGTTTGGCAAAACCATCCAGTAGACTCTTGTTCTGAAAAACAAAACCAACTTGTGGACTCTTGTTATGAAAAGCAAAACAAGCCGGAGGACTCTTATTCTGAAAAAGAAAAGCAGCCTGAGGACTCTTATTCTGTAAGAGAAAAGGAAACTGAGGACTCTGATTCTGAAAAACAAAACCAACTTGTGGACTCTTATTATGAAAAGCAAAACAAGCCAGAGGACTCTTATTCTGAAAAAGAAAAGGAAACTGAGGACTCTGATTCTGAAAAACAAAACCAACTTGTGGACTCTTATTGTGAAAAACAAAACCAGCCTGAGTGCTCTTGTTCTGAGAAAGAAAAGCGAACCGAGGAGTCTTTCAGAACTGTAAATGACTCATGTTCTGAAGATCCTCCACAATCTGAGGAAAAAGAATCAGAAGAAGCTCATCCTGTGTTGAATGAAGGACAGGAAAATAAATATGAAGAGGAGAACAAAGAGGAAGTGGAGAAGCAGGTCTGTGTCAAGAATGCTGGAAGAGGATTGGCAGAGCATCAGACGAAAGGTACACACTCTACCTCTTCTTCATCTCTTCTCTCTCAGTCATGCTTATTATCCCACAGGATCCGCCTCCATTATTCACCTCCTCCTCCTGTGATTGGCTGAAACACGTCATTTTCATCTTCCTTATTTAACCTGTCCCTGTTTCCTCCTGTGATTGGCTGAAACACGTCATTTTCATCTTCCTTATTTAACCTGTCCCTGTTTCCTCCTGTGATTGGCTGAAACACGTCATTTTCATCTTCCTTATTTAACCTTTCTCTAACTCCTCCTCC